AATGTGTTGAGCCAAGCCTGTTTTATGGGCTTGATGCCTTGCATGGTTCGGACAATGGCCCTGCCCTTGATGAGTCGAGTTGGTTCATGGTTATATAAGAGAAATAGAAAAATAAGGCAAGTTCTTAAGCGAGCCCACAAGCCGTCCTACCAGTTGACTCACAAAACTTAGGGGCTTTTCTTTATGTGCTCGACTCGATTAGTCTACCTAAAATTCAAGCTCGCATCGACCTACGACTTGTGGCAAATGAGCCAAGCCGGCCAAGTGAGTTGTTTGGACCTTTTGCCATCTATATTAGCCTGCTTCAGTGGACAATAAAACAATGGATTTCACCATCGCCTAAACTATACAAAGCACAACTCATTTTTGAGAGCATCTATATTTTGTAGGTTGACGATGATACACAGTTAAATTATAAATTAAACCCCTGTTTGGTATCACTAAAAAAATTGATTAAAATTTAAGTTAAAGTTGTTGATATCCTACCTCACCGGGAGCACCGACCTGGGGGTCATCCGACCTCACCAATGGCTCCGACCTGGTTGTAATCTGACCTCATTAAATACAATTGGTTATATGCATTAAGCTCATACTAATATAAGTTCGGATATGTGAGGTCAGCTCAGGGTTCAAGGAGACATAATGATTGAACATTCCTTACACACTGTCAAACGTCCAATTAATCAATTATATTTGGATAGGCTCATGACACACCTCCTAATTCCACCAATCATACGCCTTAGCTTCCCTCCCTAAGTAATTCATTAATTACTGAAGACCACCTCTAAAGTTAAACTTATCATGACCTGACAAGTCGAGCTCATTAAACCAATCCAAACCTCCCAATTGTTAATGATCTAAGCTGACCAGCTGAGCTCTAAGGTCGGACAAAACGAATTGAAACACGTGATGAGTACGTGGCAATGCGAGCTTGGTGGTATGAGGTTGGCTCGAATGGTTATCATATCTACAAAGATTATGTAGTCTTTTAAGGGGATTCTAATGATTGCAGATCACTGACACAATCAACAAACCAGCCAATCAGAGGAATCCACAGGGAATGATTTTACATCAGTGCTTACATAAGCTTGATCAAATAGTTATTTCATTAATTGTTAAGGTACACCTGTAAGATTTGCTCATCATGACTGCCAAATCGATCTCGGAGGCCATTGGAATCATTCCAACATGTGTACTTCTTCAGAAATTGCAGGTGACAAGACAGGAAATTAATGA